AATGTATTACTCCTTCCTCTAAACCCAGAAAGGTCTCAAGTGTTCCAGATAGTCATGCCCAATCGGAGTAAACATGTAAAATAAAAACTATCTGCAGTCTATAATCTGTAAACTTTCTCAATCTAGTTGTTTGCCAGCGTCAAAACTATACTAGAATTTACATATTATAATATTTTCATGAATATAGCCATTCTTGTTATTCGCGGGGACTGGTCCTAAGACCACCATGGATACCAAAATTCTCACATGCTCAAGTCCCTTAAAACTTGGTAACCTTCAATCTTGGTAACTTTTTTCTAGATCCATCCAGCTCTAAGAGTACATTCTTCTCTAATCCCCTAAGAATAAATAATTGCTTCCTCTCCATGGCACAATATAATCTGCACATACTTTTATTATATAATTTAAATAAATAATAACCAAACAGTAAGTATATCTGCCTCTGTTAAGGGGGTTAACCCATTAAGTCCCAAGTTTTCAATTCTGCAAACATAACAAATACTTTAATAGTATTTCAAAGTTACCATAAGTGGTATATTTATTGCTCAATATAGGTCTTTTTAGGTATTTCACATATGGAGCAATGGGACAAAGTGGGTTAAAAGCTTAAAGTCAGGAACTGCACTTTTTCTCTCCATTGTTATGGTCTCCTCCTCAGCACCCGTGTCAGTGCTGGTTAGAGAAAAGGTTTGAGTAAAAGAATGTACTAAGGTATAACAATAACACAGCAGGGGAGGGAGTTCAGAATCCCCTTTTTGCCAAATTCTTCTTAGGGGTTAAAGCACTGCCACATTAGATTGATAAAAAGAAACTGAAGTGCCCTTGTGAAATCTCCCTCCTTTCAAATTCAAGGCTGGAGTAGAAGGTCCTCTGCATATCCTTTCAACTTACAGATAACCTTCATGCCAGCAATACTCCCAAGAATTATTCTGTGTTCTCCTCTTGTGATCTTGCAAACTATTATCCAATTCCACTACTTCCCCATTTCCTATCAGTTTTTTCAAGGTATCCTTTCTAGCTATTCCTGCATCTGCTAATTTTTATGCAATTTTTCAAGTTTCATCCATTTCATCCAATTTTTAACTACATTCAAAAATGATTTTTAAGGCCGGGAGTGGGGGCACTCACCTGTCTGTAATCCCAGCAGCTGGGGAGGCTGAGGCAGGAGGATAACTAGTTCAAAGTCAGCCACAGGAATTTAGTGAGGTGCTAAGCAACCCTGTCTCTAAATAAAACACAAAATAGGGCTAGGAATATGGCTTAGTGGTCAAGTGCCCCTAAATTCAATCCCCAGTAATCCCCCTCAAAAAAAAAAAAAAAAAAGAAAAAAGATTTTTTATAAAATGATTATACTTCTCACTGAAAAACCACCCAGAGCATTAAAAGAAGAAATGCAATTTTTCTCTCATACAGGAAATTTTTCATTCATAACATCTATGCCGCTCTTTAACATTACAATTAATGTGGGTGGAACTGCAAAATAGATTGCACATAACAATATCAAATGCCCAAAATTCACTTTCAATTTCCATTCTATTTGAATCTGCTTCCAGATGTGTTTAAATGAATAATATTCATTATCTGATGTGCCAGACACTGTGCTAGACTCTATGGATATACACACAGAAAACAAGGAGGCCAGGTTTAGCGGAGAGGAGAAGAGCTACTCAATATTCATGGTGCAGTGTGATAAGTGCTATAGTGGCAAAAGAACAAGAAAGTAGTAAGCAGGACTAGAGTGTTCCACCTGGTAAGATTCAATGTTGACATTGTGAGAGTTTACTTAACTTCCAAAGTCCATGAATTCCCTGAACCATGATAGTCAAATATGCTAAGTACTATTGCACTGTCTTAACTTACACAACAGTGTATGAAATCATTATGGTCTGAAATCTTGCTGAGATCTGGAACTGTAAATTATTTGGAATGGAAATGAAGCATGACTGGGCGAAAGCATCTTTCCATTATTACTTATTTTTCTTTTTCAGATTTTCCCCAACCTCTCCCTGCATGAGCCCAATCTTTGATTGCTGATATAGTAATAACTTGAGTGTCGTATTTTCTTGTCTTAGCAACTACTCTTAAATCATGTTAGTATATTTATTATTCAATAACCACCATCTAAAAAAATCTCTAGAGCCAGGCACAGTGGTGCATGCCTATAATGCTAGCAACTCAGGTACTGAAGCAGGAGGACCTCAATTTTGAACCAGCCCCAGCAATTTAAGAAGACTCAGTCTCAAAAAAAAAGGGGGGGGGGTATGTCTCAGTGGTACAACATCCCTGGGTTCAATCTCTAGTACTGGGAGAAAAAGTCTCTTTCTCAAAAGAGCTTTTATTTGACCAAAACAAGTTCAGAGTCATAAATCCACCAACGCCTTATATAAACAGTTGCCATTTTAGTGATAGCATTTATAATCAACAGAGACAGGCTTATAAATGCCATTTTTATTCTGGAGCCAGTAGAGCTCAATTTCTCCCACTATTCTCCCTAACCTGCTCCTAGCAAAAGTCATCAGGAACTCCTATCCCTCACAAACCCTTTTGCCGGCTTGAGGAGACCATTTCAAGCAAAATAGTGATTGCATCACCCGAGCATCAATGGGATAACTTAAAACCTGAGGTCCTCCAAATTGGATGACCCGAATTTATTAAATCTTTGCATGACCCAGAAATGATATTCTCTGGCAACTTTTTCACAATTCTCCATTATGACAGAAATTAAATCAGGCCACCCTGTTTGTTTTCAATAGCTTCTCCCATACACAGCAAAGTCCTTTTCCTTATCTCCTCATCTGCAATGAGGAAAACAGATCTTGGGAGGGACTCCACTTGGAAGCTGAATCTATGTTCATCTTTACAAATTCTAAACAGGAGTTTTAACAGTTATGCTGGGTCTGACTTTCAAAGGTCCAAACTACTCAAGACACTCCCTTTCTTCAACAATTAATTTCTATCTTCTTGCAATAAGAAAGTGTGTGTGTGGAGGGGGTGGTGCCACAGTTGGGGAGCTACAAAACATCTCCAGGCTTCTCTCCTCCAGCAGTACAACTTCATTTTTGTTGGAAGGGTTTATAACTACTACAAACATCCTGTCAGAGTCCAGAAGTGTTTTCCTCCAGAAATACTAGTTTTAACTGCCTAAACATTTCTTGTTATTGAGTGGACAAATTATTTTATCTAGATTTTTATTAGTTAACACTTTAGAGGTTTCTTCCCCAATAAAAGCAACCACATAGATTCACCAGATCAGTCCTCTGAAACTGGCTTTTTAAGAAAATGGCAAGAATATTAAGAGTCCTGGGGGACCTCCTGGTACAAATTTCTCCTCCCTAACCATGGCACTTGTTTTCAATGTTCTTACCAAGATGCTCACCATTCTCAAGCCAAACTTACCCATCTCCAACCCCTCAAAACCCAGAAGACAACAGTTGCCCTCTCTTTTGGAAATTCTCCATCTGTCCAGAGCTCCCCATGCACTACCAGAGTTTTGGAGCTTCACCAGCGGCTGTATGTCTGCACTAACATCTTTCCTCTATAAAAACAGGATGACGCTTCAACATGTTGGGTTACCCCAGTGGAAAGACTTCTTTTCTTTTCTGAAGTCTGTCATCAATCACTTTTTACCCTAAATAATGGGCACCTATGCCCTCTGACCTAAGCACTTTCCTAATTCTTCACCTACTCCTGTTAATTGCCAATAAAAGTTACAAACCAAGGCCATCGAGAATTTAGTGAACCAAGCACACTTTTTTTTTTAATTCCTAATTATCCAAACTGTACTGTACAGAGTTTCTAACTCTCAGTATTTTCAACTCCATAAACCTAATTTGGAGAAATGATCCATGGTTACATTATAGTATATTCAGTCAAAATAGTCATTAAAAGCAGACTGTAAGCTAGGCATGGCTGAGCACACCAGTAATACCAGCTATATGGGAGGCTAAGGAAGGAGGATAGCAAGTTTGAGGACAGACTAGGCAATTTAGCCAGACCCTGCCTCAAAATAAAATTTTTTAAAAAGGGGTGAAGATGTAGCTCATTGACATAGTGTTTGGCTAGCACAGGAGAGACTTTGTTCAATCCCCAGTACTGGCTAACCAAAAAAAGCAGACTAAAGGAGGGACACTGAAGACAGTCTTAAAATAATACCTCACAACTATAATTGCTGTTGAATTAGCACGATGGGCCCTTGATGCAGTAATAGCTCCATCAAATGTGATTTATTCTTGGTGATTTCTCATATGGTCTGATCTTTGCAGTAACAGGAAAAAAAAAAATGGTGTCAGGGTAAATCTCCCCCATCCTCATTCCCATAGTACACAAGAAAACCTTTGACAAATAAAAACACATACAAAAAATATTTCTTGCTAGAAATTCTCAGTCTTGTAGCCCAAGTCATTAAGCATCTATTTAGGGGTCCTACCTGGGGGATTTCTTGTCAATAAATCCCCGAAATAACTCTGTGAGAAGTTATCATGCCTGGCCTTTATTGTGGTATGAAGAAATAGCTATCCAAGGTCACGAAGGGGTATCAGAGCCAAGAGTCAAATATCTGGCCTCTGACAATTGTTCATTGTCTTTCTTTTAGTTCCTTAAACCTAAACTAAGTGTCATGATTAATACCATCCCTAGAAACCAACCTTCTGTCATATCAAATTGGCGTGAGCAGTGTCGCTTTGTCATATCAAGTTGGCATGATCGGTGTCAATATGGTTTCTGAGCAGCATATTATCAGCATGTTTTCATGAAATGATAAAATGCCCAGCAGTGCTGTCCATAACAAGGACTGTTTATAAAGAGGAGGGGGCCGGTTATCCTCCCCATTTCCCACCCTGGTCAGTGGGCCAAGCTGACTTTCACAGGGCCACGTGGCAAATGTGAGCCTCCTAAAGGTCGAGGTGGCGGCCGCTCCCGATGCCGGGGTCACATAGGACCCCGCCACGAGGGCGGAAGGGCCAGACCACCGGCTCCCCGCGGCCGGTCCTCACAGGCCTCACCTTGAGAGTCTCATAGGCGGTCGCCACCAGCAGGAAAGCCTCCTCGGCGCTCCGCGGGCTCTGGCCCTCGTCGCCGGGCTCTGGCCGGTAGCGGTCCGGGTGATAGCGCCGGGCCAGCTGGCGGTAGGCCCGCGCGATCTCCGCCTTGCTGGCCGAGCGGCTCACGCCCAGCACGGCGTAGCAGTCCCGCGTGCCGCAGTAGAGCCCCTCCACCAGGGCCTCCGCGGGCCGCGCCAGAAGCGGCACCAGCAGCAGGGGCGACAGCAGCACCAACCGGCGCCGGCCGGCAGCCGCGGCTCCCCAGCGCCGAGCTTGCGGCGCTGCCATCCCGGCCTCGCTCGCGGCTCCGCCACGCCAGCTGCTCCCGTACTCCGCGACGCGCCCGGCTCCGACGCCCCGGCCCTGACGTGTCTGCAGGCGGTGCCTCCGCGCAGGCGCACACGCTGCGACTGCTGCCTCCACTTCCTTCACGACCGGTTGCTAGGGGAGAGGACGCCTCAGCCGCCAGGCCGCTTCCGGCCTGTTACCCAACGCCCTTCCTAGCCTTTGCCGGCTGAGTGCCTGATCTCGGCCGAACCTGGATGAGGTCTCTGTGTCCCAGGCGCACTTAGCTAGTGGGTGCAGAGCGCTCTGCAGTCCACGATGCTCAGCAGCCCTCGCGTGCAACCTTTTCCACGTCGTGATTCATAAGCTGCAGTAGGTGCTAGGGTTCTTTGCATCGCCTTAGCGTCAAGAAGATACGTGAGTGATACTAGCCAACTTATATTATTATAATGTGTGCATGTACGAGTATGTACAACAAATCCCCAAATAGTGCACCAATTTTTAAAAATTGGAAAAAATTTTTAAAAAAAAGAAGAAGAGAGAAGAAGAAATGTACATGGAGGAAAGAGAAGGAGGAAGAGAACGAGGACGAAGAAGAAATGTGCATTGCTTTTAAAGCCAGGTCTCCAGTTCCGGGCACCTTTTTTCTCTAACCCCTTTCCAAAATAAAAGATGAACTTAGAAAATCCTGGGCGCTGCCTACCAGGAACCCCATTACCTTCTAGTTCTCTTCCCATTATTGATATTTGGATCAAATAATTCTTCGCCTTGGGAGGGCTGTCCTAGTTAGTATAAGATGTTCAGCATCATCCCTGATCTCTCGACACTAGATGTCAGTAAGTAGTACCACTACCCCAGTTAAGACAATCAAAATGTCTCTAGATCTTGCCAAACGTATCCTGGGGGAAGGGTTACAAGAAAAAACACAGAATGCACCATTAAATTTTAATTTCAGATTAACAGCAATTAATTTAGTATAAACATGTCCCAAATATTGCATGGGACTATATAGCAATAATAACTTGTGATTAGCAACTTGATCACAGCTATATTAGGATTCTAGTAATTGGGATTGGTCAGTGCAGGCATTAGTAAATTGTGATAAACCGTGTTAGAAACTCATATGGAATACATAAAACTTTCTAGTATCAACGTGGACTCAAGATTTCCATAAACATAAACTTAACCTTAATTATTTCATTTGATGTTAATTTGAGATGGGTCAAGCACAAATACTTATTCCAAAATAGAATTCTATTAATAGTCACATTTGCAAATTTGCAAGTACAGGCACAATTAATTCACATAAATTGGAAGAAGTTTTACAATTAAAAACTTTCCCTTCAAAGTGGAGAAGTGTTTCAATGTACATATATTTAAAAACATATATTTTTAAAAAGCTATCTCAAAATCAGCTTTGCACTTAAACTTCCCTTTGGTCCCATATACAAATTTGTTCATCTTAGTGCAAGTAGACTGCCAGTCCACAAGTCTGCTAGTGTGAGTGAGGTAGGTGGTGATGGTGCTGGAACTTCACCAATTTTTTTTTTTTTTAAAAAGAGAGTGAGAGAGGAGAGAGAGAGAATTTTTTTAATATTTATTTTTTAGTTCTCGGCGGACACAACATCTTTGTTGTTGGTATGTGGTGCTGAGATCGAACCCGGGCCACACGCATGCCAGGCGAGCACACTACCACTTGAGCCACATCCCCAGCCCGAACTTCACCAATTTTATCGCCAACTTCACCAATTTCTTGGTCAAGCTTGTATGAATATAACTTCTCTTTTGCCTTCTCAATATATGTCTACTGTTCACAAATAATTATTACCTCTTATCTCTCCTGAAATCAATTCACTTTAAAAATGGGGGGGGGGATTTTGCCTGTACTAGCTCCAGTTTTTCTCGTATCTGCTGCCCTTCACTATTCAGTTCTTTCAGTCACTTCTGTAAAGAAACTCATTTTTCAATTCTCACACTCTTCCAGCATTCAAATTTGGGGCAAGCAGAAAAATCACACAGCTCACACAACCCACTCCTAGTGGGTTTATATCCTGGACCTGCTAGGTCATTAGGGATAAAGAAGCCAGGTGTTTACTTACTGACCACTAGAGAGGGAAGAAAATTACTGATGAGGAGAGATTTTGGGAGAGCACTCAACTCACCTTTCTTGAATCTCACCAAGGGTCCCAATCAGAGACCATGCTCCTTCCAACATTGTCCACTAGAGGGTACTACTCACTCCTGCACTGTCTGTTGCAGATATCTGGATTCCAGAATTCATGATGGTATATATTTTCCCTAACCTTCCTCAGAATTCATGAAAGAAACACTTAAAAACCAAACATCTTTGGGCTGGGGTTGTGGCTCATCAGTAGAGTGCTTGCCTAGCATGTTGGAGACCCTGGGTTCAATCCTCAGCACCACATGAAAATTTAAAAAATAAAACTATTGTATCCAACTAAAAAATAAATATTAAAAAAGCATCTTTAATAAGAGAAAACAAATCTATAGGATTGGATGTGTAAACAAAAGAGGAATGCTAAAAAACAGTTCCAATAACCACTCCTCTACACTGTTCCTATCAGGATCAAGTCAAACCCTTGCCGTTGACTCCTTATTTTTTTTTTAATTTTCTTTTAGTTGTCAATGGAGCTTTATTTTATTTATTCATTTATAAATGGTGCTGAGAATCGAACCCAGTGCCTCACATGTGCTATGCAAGCACTCTACCACTGAGCTACAGCCTCACAGTTGACTCTTTTTAAGGGAGAAAAAAGGATTTTCAAAGAAAGATCTCTAATGTGCAGGCTGACACCTATTTACATTTTGTCCAAATGAGTATGAAATTAAGCAAACAGTCATTTTTTAAATATAGTAAGATCTTACATGGGAAGCATAGGGAGATGAGCATTTACTAATTAGCATGATACCAAAGCAGCGCTGGCTTCTGCCTCAGTGTGAATCACTGTATCCCACTGAAACAAAATGAAAGTCAACATTTAAAAAGAGATATAAGGGGCTGGAGATGTAGCTCAGTTGGCAGAGTTCCTGCCTCACATGCACAAGGCCCTGGGTTCAATCCCCAGTGCCACCAAAACAAAACTGTAAGCCAAAATAAAAAGAGTTGTAAACCCTTAAGAAACATTTTGATACAGAGAAGGATTTGTAAATTGAGAAATGGTAAAATTTTTCAAAATTCATTAAAATCCACAATATTAAAGAACAAATAACTAATTGGAGGCAGATAGAGAAAAATATGATAAAGGATTAGTACTTTATATAAAAATCATTCAAATTATTTAAAAAGTTTAAAGACACTATTTAAAATTTAAAAACAACAATCTGAATTGACTGCTGCCTACATCGCTGCCGCCATTGCTGATGCCTCTTATTCCCCCGCTGCCAGACTGGAATGGCCTGAAGGTCTTCTTTCTGGGTGCTGCTGCCGAAGAAGAAACCAAAACTGCTATCCCAGATGCACCTGCAACGGACACTGCTGCTGACTCCCAGAGATCGCCTGGTGACGCTGCCCCCACAGCTGCAGTTGCAGCTGCTGCTGACGTGCAGCCTACTGCCAACAACCACCTCCACTACCTCTGCTACAGGGGCTTGGCGGCTTGGTTCAGGAAAGACTCCGGTTTGGTTGCACATGGCTGCACTCTTTTAGGACACCAGCCAGGGCCTGGGGCCTGGGTGCCAGCATAGAAGCCTCTGTCTGGGGACTCCAGCTGGGACCTGCAGGTCCAGTGTGGGGGTGTCTACAGGTTTGGAGGAGCCTGGGGTCTTTCTGCTGCAAGTGCTGGTGGCCCTTATCTTGCTGCTGCATCTCGGAGTTGCTCCTTCACATGAGTGTGTCTCTCTGCAAGTAGGAGCAGCATTGAGATCTTGAGACTGCAGCATGGCCCAGCCTGGGGTGTCTGGAGCCAGATCTGTGGGATAGAGACTGGGTTTATGAGGGCTGATCTGGGTTTGGACAGAGCAATGTCAGTGACAGGGATGAGAAACTGTTGAACACTAACAGAGACAGTTTGACTTTCCAGCAAGATTTATTTTATTTTTCGATTCACTGATCTCTCTAGCATATTTGGAACAGGGTGGTTTTTGTGCATCTGTGTGGAGGACAATAATATATGAATGGTATTTTGCATTTTTGTTGTATTCTTATGTCTTTAATTTTGTTTCTCTTTGTTCATACTCTTCCTCTCTCTTGTCTATTTTCTTGGATTTTCTTTCCAATTTTTCTCCAACCAACAGCCGGTCTCTATCAGCTCCTCTTCCACTCTTCTGAGAATTTTTACTTCTGGCTTCTCTCTTCCTCCCTCATGAATATTGTATACTGCACTACCTTTTGTTCTCTCGTCCACCATTTGAGATTGTAAATCTTTTTGACAGGTATTCTGTTTGTACTATAGATAGTTATTGAACTTGTCATTTTGGTTTAGTGCGAGAAAGCCGTGGACAACTTGGTGGGAGCTATTGGTTTTAGGGCTGTATATTGTGTACACTGGGTACTGTTTATTTTGGTCTCACCAGTGAAGGTGAGGTGCTGGAAACCTTTGGGGACACTGTGGGTCTACAGATTAGAATTTGTCCTGCCTTGGATCCATATTTCTGTGAGGGAAAACACACAAACAGCGTGAAAGAATGGGGGAGTGAAGCGCCCCAAACAAACCAAGATGCTTCAACAATGGAAGCCTCTGAAAACACAGTAGAGAAGGTGTCTTAGAAGAAGTTCAGATTGTATGTAGTTAGATGGATATATAAAATAAAGGATGGTGTAGAGAATGAGGTCAAGGAGGGAATATGGGAAGTGAAAGACCACTTCAATAAAGAAAGATCATGAAAAGAAAACAAGCAGAAATCCTTGAAATGAAGGAACCAGTGGACCAAATTATAAATTTGGACCACTTAGAGGACAGAGCCTCAGACAATGAAGACAGGATTTGTAATTTTGAAAGTGGAATTGAACATGCAGAGAGGATGATGGAAAACCATGGGAAGAACATCCAGGAATTGTTGGATGGCATGAAAGGATCAAATTTGGGAGTTGTTGGAGTGGATGGAGGAGC